AAATATCGCAAAAAATTTCGGAAGACGTGCCAGGCAACGAGACTTTGCGTAATTGCAGGCTAGATTCGCTATTCAACAACCGCTGCAACTCCTCATCCTGGGCTTGCGATTTTGCCAATTCTTCGAAATTAATCGAGTGGTTAACCGTTTCCACTCTGGACAGTGCATCGGCAACGACGTTGTCTTTACCGGAAATATGTTGAATATCTGTAGAGAATTGCGCAATGTAATCTAGGTATCGGAATTGTCGAGGAGAGCATTTATCTAATTTCTGTTTGAAAGCGAAAGTTATGGGTTTATGGTCTGTAAAAATAGTGAAATGTCTGCCTTCGAGCATATGTTTGAAATGTTTTATTGCTAAATAGATAGAAAGTAGTTCCCGGTCGTAAGCTGAATACTTCTTTTCGGCAGATCCTAACTTTTTAGAAAAGAATGCTAATGGTTGTCGTTCGTTGCCGACGCACTGATGTAAAACAGCTCCTACGGTGTAATCAGAAGCGTCGCAGGTAACCGACAACGGAGCGTTGACCGCAGGATGAGAAAGTAGGGTTGCGTTTGCTAAACTATTTTTAGTATTTTCGAAAGCCTGACGCGCTTCCGAAGTCCAGGCTATCGGGGTCTTGCCCTTTAAATTGCCGGCTAGAAGGTCGTTCAAGGGTGCTTGAAAGCGAGCGGCATCTGGGATAAAACGGCGGTAAAAATTAAGCATTCCCAAGTACTGCCTCAAATCCTTCGCGTTTTTCGGAAGGGGAAATGACTTTATGGCTTATACCTTGCCGGGCAAAGGTTGAGTGCCGCTTTCATTTACCCGATAGCCTAGAAATTTAACTTCTTCCTTTCCGATCGTGCATTTATTCGGATTAACAACAATGCCGTACTCTTTTAATCGTTTAAATAATAATTCTAAATGGCGCAGGTGATCGGCTTGGGATTCTGAGGCGACCAAAATGTCGTCTATATACGCGTAACAAAAATCGAAACCGCGTAAAATTTCGTCGATAAAGCGCTGAAATGTTTGCGCGGCATTTCGTAACCCGAACGACATGTACGGGAATTCAAAAAGCCCGAACGGCGTTGTAATGGCCGTTTTTCCGACGTCTTCCGACGCAACCGGAATCTGATTATAAGCTCGGACGAGATCTATTGTGGAAAATACCTTTTTGCCACTCAGTTGTTGCGCAAAATCTTCAATGTGACGCACGGGGTATCGGTCGGGAATTGTCCGTGCGTTTAACGCTCTATAGTCACCGCAAGGCCTCCAAGCTTCTTCGCCCTTCTTCGGAACCATATGAAGGGGTGATGACCACGCGCTCTTCGAAGGACAAACGATGCCCATCTTCACCATCGCGTCGAACTCCTTCTGGGCAGCCCTGAGCCGGTTCGGTGCAAGCCGCCGCGGCTTGCTGGAAACGGGTGGTCCAGGGGTTGTCTCGATGTAATGCACCGTTTGGTGCGTAGTCCTCATCGGGGTGCCGCTAGGCCGTGTAAGTTCCGGCATCTGCATCAGGAGCTGGTGGTAAACGGTAGTCCCTGCTACTGTCTTCACCGACGGCGTCTCATCCTCGGCTCGTGTTCCGCGGACCGTTAACGACGTTGTCCGATCGACGAGGCGACGATTGCGGATGTCCACCATAAGATCGAAGTGATCGAGAAAGTCTACCCCGATTATGGGTTTTGTAACATCCGCAACCACGAATCGCCACACGAAATCCCGTCGTAGGCCAAGGTGCAGGTTTAACGACACTGTCCCGTAGGTGTTAATTACACTTCCATTCGCCGCCGCCAGTTGGTACTCCGATCTTTCTCGCAATCCGCCTAGCAGGCGGCGCGGAAAAACGCACAAATCGGCCCCGGTATCCACTAAAAATTCCGTCTTCGAGCTGTTGTCTAAGATGAAGAGGCGGCGTGATGCTGGATTTGTGTCGCTGGCCGCCATCAACGACTCCCTAGGTCGTTTCCCTGATCCGTGGCGTTCCAATTGCACGGTGCAACGCATCTCTGCGCGGCCGGACCGAACCGCCAATGGTACCAGCATTTCCCTTGATGGTCCATTTGTCCTCCCGCGGGCCGCTCTCGCGATCGCGATAGAGATCGTCTGCGGTAGCGCGAGTTTGGATGATTTCGGTGGGTCCACCTGCGACGGGAAGATTGTCCCTGGTCCACCAAGGATTCACGGATGGCAGAAATTTCCTGCCTCAAGGAAAGAGCCAATTGCGACATCTTAATGTTTAACATGGCCTCGATGCTCGGGCCCGGCGGGGGTATTTGGCAGGATGCAGATACGCCCGTAGTCGCGGCCTCCGTGACGTGTACCCGCGGTGTCATCGTATCCGCGACAGCGTCTGCCAACTCTGCTACCTTATCCAGCGGGGTGTCCCGCTGCGTGGATAAAATCACCTGCATATTAGCAGGTAGCCGGCCCATCCAAAGCGTCCGCAATACACCGTCCGAAAAAGCCGTACCGGCCAATCCGCGCAGGTGACGAAGAAATTGGGACGGTTTTCTGTCCCCGATTTCCTCGTGTTCCAATAACCGTCGCGTTTTCTGTTCCTGCGACGCACTAAGCCGGCGAATAAACTCATTTTTGAGCGTCGTGTACGGATCCGTGGCCGGAGGATTCATGATAATGTCTCTTACTTCCGCGGCGTGTCGCGCACTTAACGCGCCGAGAATGTACCCGAATTTCGTGGTCTCCGACGTTACATTGGATACCTCAAAACTTCTCTCTACCATCGAAAACCACATCTCCGGGTCTCCCGGACAAAACTCGGGTATTCGTACAGCGACGCGATCAACTGCCAACGGCACACTCCCGGATGTCCCGCGTTAACGGTAGGGTCAGTCATTTTACCAGTCTTGGTCACAAAAGATTAATTTCACCGCACACACACACCGCGCCTACTATTTGTCAGACCGTGTCCTTTCCTTATGTTCTTAACACTATACACTTATTTCTCTACACTAACTAATATGGTCCGTATACAAAAAATGTCCAAATTTTCTTAAAAAAACTTTACTTGCGCGGCGAGATCACGTCGGGGTCACCAATGTGGGATCGGGAAGGTAATGACTCCGCCCTGTTCCGTTCCGCACAATTTTATTGTTGCTGTCGTACAACGACGTGACTCGTGGTGCGGGTTACGCTCGACTCTCTGGTACGATCATCGCCACCGTACCAAGAGGCCTTCGAAAACAAAAGACGGTCAGAGGCGACGACAACGGCTTTTCGGCTCGCGCGGCTCTGGTCGTCTCGTGTGCAACCATACATTGTAGCGGCTTCGAACGACTAAGGCGTATGTGGTGCCTTGGCCGCCACAGAACAATAACAAATACAATCATTTTGGCATGTACAATCGGAAAAAATGTTACCATCGTTTTATCAGAAATATATTTTTCAACAAAATGTAGAAGTGGTGAGTTTATTCGGAAAGTCTTATTTGTAAATTTTCCTTAATTTTAACACGCCCTGTTTTATGTTTTATTCGTACACTTTCTACAATCTTTTTATAATATATCACACTGTCTTTTTTCATTTTTTCAATAAGATACAAAAATTTGTCTAATTTTGAGATTTGTTTCTTTACTTTTTCTATCTATGGTAATGTATTGTTAAAACAAGAAGTTGTGAATGAAAATTAATGCTTATTAAATGCTTGTCTATATTATATTGACTATTTTCAGCGCCAATCAGAAACAAATGTTCATTGACGTGAAAAAGTGTATAAATAAAGGTTTTAGGCAGTGTATTTTCATAATTTTGCGCCATTTCCAATGTTATCAATTCAGACTGCTATAAAATACAGCGCTGTCGAGGGTAGGAATTTGAACTATAGACTAGGTTAGGTACAGAATAGACTTACTTATCGTCCAAAGCATTTTTGTGTTATCACAGACGAGCTATACGACTCGTATACTTGGTTTGTGTTGCTACATAGCATCAGAGGGCTACGTAGCTCCCTTACCATTTTCGTGTCACACGTGACGTTACTAACTGATGAATAAGGAATAAGTTCGTAGCGCAACGAAACGGCAGAAATTATTATTAAATTTAGAGATCATCAATTATCTTAAATATAAATATAGAATCTAAATTGGGGTCGTGACATCAGTACAGACCAGGTATAGGAGACTATGCATCTTATGCAAGGCGGTGTCACACGAACTGAAATACCGACTTAGTAAAAACACCAGTGGTTTTCGAACGACAACAGATGGGGTAAAAAGAAGACCTAACACCACAGGTGAGATATACGAGTAGATCATTCACCCAATATATTTTTTCGGCTCGTTTTTATGGGGTCTCGAAACCCCATTACCATTTTCGTGTCATTCGCAACGTTACCAACACATTCAGAAATGAATTTTAATCCCTTTCACAGTCAACTCAAATGTATTTACGCACACACTACAGCTGTTTGCCCATCGATACTAATTCAGTGAATAGTTTCTCAACTGACCGCCATCCATGCGAAGAGGACGCTAAAATCACCTCCGAATTTTCAGGTCGGTATGACAGTTAGATTGGGCCACAAAAGTCCATAAGGTGAAAGCACAGACCAGTTATACAAGTAGACCTTTCACCACAGACGAGGTATACAAGTAGACCTTTCACCACAGACGAGGTATACGAGTAGACTTGTCACCTTATGGACTTTCGCGGCCGAATCTGACTGCCATACCGACCTGAAAATTCAGAGCTGATTTTAGCGGCCTCTTCTCATGGATGGCGGTCAGTTGAGAAACTCACTGAATTAGTGTGATAGACAACAGACTAGTTGCGTGTAAATGCATACGAGTTGAAAAGTACGAATTATTCGCGTTTCGGTGACTAGTTAAAGTTGTAAATAATTTGCTAAAATCAGTCTATCCGCGGTTTCTATTTGAGGCATCCCTCGTGTTCGTAATACAAGCTTCGCGAGACATCGGAGCTTCCCCCACCCTGCCGCCTAATTCGCGAGCGTTGCCGAGCACAGAGGACGGCCATCATTCATACTTTGAAAATAAACATAACAAGACGTGTCGAGACGTATCGGCGTTTCGCGACCGAGGTGCGTATTTCTAACCTCTTTATCCTTCCACTATTACTACTCACGTATTACTACTTATGATCTCTTGCAATACGGTTTCGATTTAATCATTACTTAATTGTAATAATCGTTTGCATACTTTAATGCATCGTTATTTCATTTCTGTTACAGTCTCTTATTGGAACTCAAAATTAAGAAATAATAAGACTTGGAACCTGCCATGATGTGTCAGCGTTTCGCGACCAACGAGGTACATACGTGTTTCTAACCTTTTAGTATTTCTTCATTATTATCAATTATTGTTTGTTGATATTTTCAAGGGAGAGTAGGCGATGAGGTTAAAGAGAAAACTAGCCTTAGAATGAATACACGTTTTATTGGTTATAAAAGAGAAAAACAAAAATGACTGTTTGCACATGTCTCATGCTCGACGATCACTAACCAACCAAAAAAAAATCAAGATGGCCAGAACGCCAGTAGTGCGCTCTGGCGCCTTAATACTGATTGTAAGTGTTGCTCGCGCAACTGCGTGAAGTTATCGACGCGCGATGACTTTAATCTCAACACTCCCGCCGTTTGAGTGCGTCGAGAATCCTATGCCTAAACCATAACATAGATGCTGAAACTGTCTCTTTGGAAATGCTTTGGTAAACATATCGGCCAGCTGATGATCCGTAGGAACATATTCTACTGCGATTTCTCCACTCTCCACAGTTTCGCGAACATAGTGATGCTTAATGTCTATATGCTTAGTTCGTTTATGGAACTCCGGATTTTTGATTAATCGGATTGCACTTTGATTGTCTACTCGCAGAACTGTCGCAGTTACTGGTAGACACCCGAGATCGTTTAACAATTTTCTCAGCCAAATGGCCTCTCTCGCAGCTGCTGCTGCCGCGACGTACTCAGCCTCCGTTGTGCTGAGTGTGACTAGCTTTTGTCGTTAGGGACGACCACGTCACAATCCCATTCGACAGACAGAACGCATACCCCGTGGTAGATCTACGGGTCTCCATGTCACTTGCGAACATCCCGACTTTCGTCGTTCCAACCAAGTACCGGTAGATTCGTTTTACCGCTCGCCAGTGGCTCTCGTTGTGATTGCTAAGAAATTTGCTAACTGAATTCACCGAATATGTGATATCCGGCCGCGTCACAATGGCAAGAAACATTAACGAGCCCACTGCTTCTCGAAATGGTACTGTGCTTGGGTTTCCATCACCGTGATCGTTTGGAACTAGTCGCGCATGCGGGTCGGCTGGAACACTTACTGCTTTTGCATCGATCAACTTAAATTTATTAAGAATTTTCTTTACATATGCTTCTTGATGCAAGAACATGGTTTTCTCTAATCGATTTCTTTCTATTTGTACCCCGACAAATAATTTTCCATCCCCGATCGTAATTTCGAACTCGTTTCCAAGCGATTTTATCACCGACTCGAGGGCTTTACTTGTTTTTGCTGCGATGAGTCCGTCATCTACAAAAAGCGCTAAAAATACATCTACACAGTCTACCCGTCCTCGAAAGATACACTTATCTGCTTCAGCTTCCCGAAACTGATATTTTTCTAGGAACTCACGAAACTTTTCGTTCCAGCACCTGGGTGCTTGTTTCAAGCCATACAACGATTTGTTCAGTTTACACACGAAGCCGCGTTCATCTTCCTTCTTGACGTTGAGTCCTTCTGATATCTCCATGTAGATCTCTTCCTTCAGCTTGCCGTGAAGGAAGGCTGTTCTCACATCGAACTGTGTGAGCTCCAAGTCCTGTTCGGCCACCATGGCCAGTAGAAGTCTTAGCGAGTCGTATCTCACGACTGGCGAGAAGGTCTCCGTGTAGTCGAGTCCCTCTTTCTGTTGAAATCCTCGTGCACAAAGTCTCGCTTTGTACCGGTATGCGTTACCTGACGTGTCTCGTATGACCTTGAACACCCATTTCGAATCTATGGGCTTCCGATCCGATTTCCTTGGTACGATCGACCACGTCTTGTTCTGGTCGTGTGCGGCGAACTCTTCCTGAATCGCCTCGGCCCAATTTTCTGCTTCAGCACTGTTCATCGCCTCCTGAAATGTGTTTGGCGGATTATATTCAGCGAAGTCGATCTCATACCTTGTTGGTGGTCGGATGTTTGCTCGGTCCCGCAGTTGTCTGTTGTTTCCCGGTTGATTTCGATTTTCTTCTCGAGGAGCTGCCCATTCCACGTTTCTTTCAGGTTCTCCCTGAGCTTCCTGGCGTTCTTCCTCCTCTCGCTGTACGCAGGGTTCTGCTACGTCTTCATTTTCGTCCGTTGGGAAGGTGTATTCGAGTTCTTCTCCCTTTTTTGTCCCAAGCTGCCCAGGCATTTTTGACTTTCCGACCTATGTAGGCGTATATAAGCAAAACCCATAATGAAACAAAAATTTCAAAAATTTTTTTACGGAAATAGACGTTTTAGGACCCCCTGATCATATTTTAACTATTAAAAAAAAGACATTTTTTTACTATGCTAATGGACGTGCGTTCATATATTTATACAATTAATACAATTCAGTCTGAACAACCAAATGAATTTCAATATTATTTTAAATTTTTAAATCTGAAAAAATTTTAAAATACTGTCCTATTTGTCCTCTTTGTTTAGCAATTTAAAAAAACGCTGACTCATAAAAATCAATCATATGAAAATGAATGGAAGTTGAGACCGCCCCTACTGAAAATGAAAGGCTGGAAAATTTTTCTTCTTTCAATGAAGAAAACTCTTTTGGTTAATCTTTTTCGAAGGCGAAGGCAAAACAGTCGATTTCGCCACGACAACAATGGTTGGACGCGACGCGTGGACATTCCCCCGAAATAGGGGATCGGCTTTTGTTTTCCAGAAACGCTAGCGACAATGTATTTTCCAAGAGAGTCGAATGTAAGGACCATTGAAGGACGCTCAGTCTACGATACATTTATGACAGAGTTTTGGGGTGCATGTGGCCTAAAGAGCGAATGAGACTAAACAGGCCTGGCAACGGGTGACGCGATAGCGGACGACCGCGTTGGGTCTCCAGCTAGCGCGTGTCGAGGCATTGATTGTTTATGAATAGAGAGAGAGAGTAGTTAAAAGAGGCAGACGACCTGACGTCGTACTGCTGGAAAAAATGAAGACTTTGTCCTGAAGGATCTGGCCACGGAGTGGGGAAGGCGCGGGACCTTCCGGTAAGAGCACTGTGAGGAACGGCACAGGACTTACCCCAGAACCGTCAAAGGCAAAATTTCTAAAATACAGGCATGTCTCTATAAATTTCAAATCCATTAATCAATATGAATTTGTGATATCATGTCAGCCAATTTTGAAAATATGGTTTCGAGAAAAACTCATTTAAAATTTCTGGTATGATTATTAACCGTTGGGTACTCTTCCCTCTAAATGGCTATAACTTTGTTATTTTTACGAATTTTAATGAGTCTACGTTTATTATAATTGCTAAATTCGTTAAAGAGATCTAAATCACCTGCCTCTTGTTATATTTATAAGGATAATATATTGAAGGACAATTTATCGGTGGCGAATGCCTTTGCTGAATTTTTTGAATCAGTATACACGCGGGATACTGTCCACAGTAATTCTACTGATTTCGAATACCCCTCTAATATAAATATTTCGAACCTTTCACTTGACATTAGTGAAATATTCACATGTATTAATGAACTCAAGAATAATTGTGGTCCAGGATATGATAATATTCCTCCTATATTTTTTAAATCATGTGTTTTTATCATGTCTAGGGTCCTATGGTTGATATTTAATAAATCTTTATCTGCTGGCATCTTTCCTAAATTATGGAAGTTATGTTTAATGCCTATTCCTAAATCTAATAACGCAACGTCAATATCAAACTTTAGACCTATTAGTACTCAAAATGTCATGCCTAAGATTATGGAAAACTTAATTAGTCGTAAACTATCATTTCTTTGCAAAGACATCATCATTGATGAGCAGCATGGATTCGTAAGCGGTAGATCGACTGTGACTAACCTTGTGGAGTACCATTACTATTTAACTAACTGTAGTGATAAAGGCATGCAGGTTGATACTGTTTATACTGATTTTTCTAAAGCTTTTGATTCTATTAATCACTCAATCTTAATGTCCAAATTAAAGGCATTAGGAATAAACAGCTGTATGCTCTCTTGGCTATCCAGCTTTTTATCGGACAGAGTTCAAATAGTTAAATTCAATAATAACTACTCAAGAGAAATTAATGTTACATCTGGTGTTCCACAAGGTTCACATTTGGGGCCTCTTCTATTTATAATATATATTAATGACATCTCTAAGGTATTCCATCAGTCTAAATTTTTATTATATGCTGATGACCTTAAGATATTTAAATGCATTTATAATCAGCAAAGTGCTCAATCACTTCAAGATGACCTTTACAGGCTTCAGAATTGGTGCTCATTAAATAAATTGTCCCTCAATTTAGATAAGTGTCATACTGTTAAGTTTAGTAATAAGAATAATAATATCGTTTATAATTATACTTTAAATGGAACCGTGCTAACCTCTCTTAATCATGTTAAAGATCTTGGAATAACTTTCTCCTCTAATTTATCCTTTAAAATTCATTACGAAAAAATTACTTCGCAAAGTCTCCGCTCTTTGGGACTGATTCATAGAGTTTCCAAATATTTTATCAAAACCAAAACACTTAAAATTTTATATTGTGCCTTGACGAGACCTATTCTAGAATATGGCAGCATAATTTGGTCTCCTTATCACAAAACATACATAAACAGCATTGAGGGAGTTCAACACAAATTTCTTCGTCTTGTTGCTAGACATAGTGGGAGTCCCATGCCTCTTGAGTCTCATAATTACGATGGCTTACTTATTAATACTAATCTCCAAACACTGCATAATAGAAGAAGAATCGCAGATATTTTATTTGTAAGTAAGCTAATCAAAGGTCATATTTCGTCTTCAACAATTATTCAATTGTTTCCGTTGTATGTACCGTCTAGATATTTAAGAAATCACTTTCTTTTTTACCCTGAAACTTACCGCACAACGTTTGGATCTCAGAATTGTGTAAACAGAATGATTAGTAATGTAAATTTCGCACACACAAAAACAGATTTAATTGAACAATCATTAGAAAGTCTAAAACTATCCTTGCAACGTATTGTAAATTAATTTATTCTTGTTACGTTCACTAAGCGATAATGTTTGACTATGTAAAATCCACATCTGTAGTTCCTTAGATATTACATCGTTGTACTAAAGGGTTTAATTACCTGTTAATAAATGAATAATAATAATAATAATATGTAAGCAACCTTTAGGTTTGTAACGAATGAATGCGGTTATATTATGTGAGAGTTTCGATTGATGGCATTGCCAACTATGTGTGTGTGTTTCGCGTGAAGTATGTATTAGAAGTTGTTCATTTTATTAGTTAATCGTTTGTTAATAATAATTTAGTTAGTTACGTTCGAGCCAGCTTTCTGTACAAAACATTGAA